CCTTATTTAAAAAGGGGGACCACAGGGTGTGTTCCAACTACAGGGGTCACACCTCCTGAGCCTTCCTGGTAAGGTCTATTCAGGGGTTCTGGAGAGGAAGGTCCGTCAGATTGTTGAACCTCAGATTCAGGAGGAGCAATGTGGTTTTCGTCCTGGCCGTGTAACACTGGACCAGCTCTCTACCCTTAGGGGGATCCTGGAGGGTGCGTGGGAATTTGCCCAACCAGTCTACATGTGTTTTGTGGATTTGGAGAAGGCGTTTGACCGCATCCCTCGGGAGGCCCTGTGGGGGGTACTCCGGGAGTATGGGGTACCAGGCCCTCTGATACGGGCTGTTAGGTCCCTGTATGATCATTGTTAGAGCTTGGTCCGCATTGCCGGCAGTTAGTCGGGCTCGTTCCCAGTGAGAGTTGGACTCCGCCAAGGCTGCCCTTTGTCACAGATTCTGTGCATAACCTTTATGGACAGGATTTCTAGGCACAGCCAAGGTGTGGAGGGCATCCGTTTTGGTGGCCTGAGGATCAGGTCTCTGCTTAATGCAGATGATGTGGTCCTGTTGGCTTCATCAGAACGTGATCTTCAGCTTTCGCTGGAGCAGTTCGCAGCTGAGTGTGAAGCAGCTGGCATGAGAATCAGCTCCTCTAAATCTGAGACCATGGTCTTGATTCGGCAAAGGGTATAATGCCTTCATCAGGTCAGGGATGAGGTCCTGCCCCAAGTGGAGGAGTTTAAGTATCTCAGGGTCTTGTTCACAAGTGAGGGAAAACTGGAGCTTGAGATCGATAGTCGGATTGGTGCTGCATCTGCAGTGATGCGGGTGTTGTACCAGCCTGTCGTGGTGAAGAGAGAGCTGAGTCAGAAGGCGAAGCTCTCGATTTACTGGTCGATCTACGTTCCTACCCTCACAGCGATACGTTTGGGCCTGCCTGATTTGACCGGCATCCTTCCCCACCATCTGAGCCAACTCACCACCAGGCAGTGGTACGTTGACAGCTCCGTCCCTCTCTTCACCCGAGAGTCCAAGACATGCGGCTGCAGGTCAGATGAAACAACAACAAAGTCGATCATCGAGCTGCGGTCTAAGGTATCCTGGTGCCAAGAGCACAAATGGACACCTTTATGTCTGAACATGGTGTTCATTATGGACAATCCATGACTGGCACAGAAGTCCAATAACAAAACACCACTCGAATTCAGATCAGGGGGGCCGTTCCTCCCAACCACACCTCTCCAGGTTTCATTGTCGTTGCCCACGTGAGCGTTAAAGTCCCCCAGCAGAATGAGGGAGTCACCGGAAGGAGCGCTTTCAAGCCCCCCCACCCCCCCAGGTCTCCAAAAAGGGTGGGTAGTCTGAACTGTAGTTTGGGTATAAGCACAGACCACAGTCAGAACCCCACATGTAGGCGGAGGGAGGCTACCCTCTCATTCACTGGGGTAAACCCCAACATACAGGCACCACGATGGGGGGCACCCTTGCTCCGGGCCTCTCAGTGGGAGCAACTCCAGAGTGGTAGAAAGTCCAACCCCTCTCAAGGAAACTGGTTCCTGAGCCAGAGCCATGCGTTGAGGTGAGTCCGACTATATCTGGTCGGAACCTCTCAACCTCACACACCAACTCAGACTCCTTCCCCACCAGAGAGGTGACATTCCATGTGCCAAGAGCCAGCTTCTGTAGCCGAGGATCAGACCGCCAAGGTCTCTGCCCTCAACTACCACCCGTCACACATTGCACCCGACCCCTTTGGCCCCTCCAAGCCCCCACAATGCGGCTCAGAAAGTGGTCTCAACCTGGAAGTACCAAAAATTGCAGTTCCACCCTCATCCGCTGGGGGCTGGTGTCAGAAGCAAGCAAATCCTCGTTGACTTCCATGTTAAAAATACCAATTTCTCAGCATAAATAAACATGTTTATAGCCTGGTACCAAAACATGTTTTTTGTTTAAATTATCTACTTTACACTCATGACAACTCTGAGGGGGGTGAATTTTTTTCTCACTCTTCTGTTTAAGTGTATTAAAAGCCTAAAATTCTGTATAATTAATGAGCATCAGACCCACGTGACCGCCGCCTCAGACCCACGTGACCACAGAGCTAGCTCCGTGGAAAGGCCTCAGTAGAGCCTCGACCTGGCTTGGAAACTGCTCCGGGATTTTGATTCTCTGTTTGTGTATTCTTTTTTGGATATTATTTTTGCAATTGTTGGACAAAATGACTTGCTGTGGCATTAATTGCACTAATAGAGCGTCCAAGGAGTCTCCACTTCATTTTTTTCTGTAATTAAAATTATATTTATGTATTTTAGGTCACTGCTGAGCTGAGCTTAGATTTTAACATGTACTGTTTAACCATGAAATTTAAATGTAATAGGGTAAAACCCAGTGCATTTAACATAATGCTGCACTTTAGAAAATGGGTTGAAATATAACATGATGGTGGAGCTGGGTTCCGACTATCGGCTTGTGGAGCTCTCGGGAGACCGATGTTTTCCACGCGTTCTCGCCTCCCGGCAGCTCAGCGCATCTCTGTCTGATCGCGGGTTCTGTGTGCTGCGCGGGCTGCTGGCTGGGTCTCCCGGCAACTCGGTGCATCTCTGTCTGATTGCGGCTCCTGTCTGCTGCGCAGGCTGACAACTTGTGGAGCTCTGGGATGGAAACCTTTCCACCCGGTTCTCCCCAGCGGCAGCTCTGCGCATCTCAGATCGCAGGGGCGCTTGTCTGCTGTGCAGCTGCCAGCTTGTGGAGGTCTCGGATACCTCTGTGTTCCACCCGGTTTTACCCAGAGGTCAGCCCGGCGTATCTCTGACTCAGAAGCTCTGGTGTTGTGCACAAACTCCAGTTGTAGCTAAGTTGCTACCTCCATTAGCTTAGCTCCCACCTCCGCATTAGCTTTGGGTTAGCTTCAGGTTAGCTTGTAGCTAGTTCGACCGGGTGTTGTCAGTTGATCCCAGCCTTACAGCCCCACCCTCAGCTCCACCTCTCTTCCCTTTTATGGAATTGTCTGGGCTTGACGGAACCTGTGACACGGTCAAAATGGCGGTGGTGGCCACCTTCCATTTTAGTACAAAAATGTATTATTGGAGTCTATGGAAACCCATTGTCCATATATGTATGTCGATGGGCCCCTTCCACGAGTGGTGAGCCCATGGGAAGGGGGACCCACGTTTCCTCTTCAGGCTGTGCCCGGCCGGGCTCCATGGGTGAAAGCCCAGCCACCAGGTGCTCGCTAACGTGCCCCACCTCCAGGCCTGGCTCAAGAGGGGGGCCCCGGTGACCCACGTCCGGGTTTGGGAACACGGTTTCCATTTATATAATTCATCATAAGAGGTCTTCGGGCTGCTCTTTGTCTGATCCCTCACCTAGGACATGTACAGCCTGTCCAAGGTTACACACGCACAAACATGTAGAACAAAAACCGATACAGGCAGATCACGAGAGCGGCGATCATAGCAGTCTCTTGATTCACCTGCAAAACCAAAAAAACATGAAGGTGCAGCTCATACATGGATGCCAAACAGATTCACTAATGTTTAAAATGATTTATTAGTGGAGCATTCATTCTCAAATGTAGGGGCTAAAAGCAATAAAAAAAACCTTAACTGTTCTACAAATCACTGAATAAAGATGGGTAAAATCTGTCATGTCCAGCGTTACTTGTCTCCCCAGGGGTATTCAGTTCCAGGCCTGTATCCAGCACATTTAGCTGTTTTTCGGCTCGTACACACTTGATTCAGTAGTTGAATCACCTGCGCTGCAGCTCATCAGGCTCAGCAGAAACCTGATAATTACCTGCTGATTGAAATGAGATATGTTGAAACAGAGTTCAAATAAAAACGTGCTGATACCAGCCCTCCAGGCCCAGAATTGAATACCCCTGCCCTAGTCCTTTTCATGTTTTCTCCATCCTCCTAGGTCCTCCCTTTCCCCTCCAGACCCCATCTCCCTAGTCTCCGGTTCCCTCATAGGTTCCACGCAAGCTTTTTACTTTACTTTGCATAATCATTCCTGCTATTTCTATTCCACAGCTTAGTATTTATTTCCCTTTAACTTAAGCCTTAATATGGTCAAGTGCCTGTTTTTTTAAGTATCCTTTTGTAGTAGTGACCTTTGACCTCTGTGTTTCCTTAACAGTTGTTTTGTTCTTTATACTTCTGTTAGTTATCCCTCAGTTAGCTTCTGTTTCCCTTTAACCCCCACTATTCTGTTCCATTTTCTCCAGAATCAATTTTAGTTCTCCCTGTGTCCCCCACTGTAGTTTATTTCCCCAGTATTAGTTATTTTATCCTTTATTACGACCCTGGCTCTCTAGGCTCTGGGGGGATCCAAAGTCAAAGTCAAAGACGGTCCGAAGTCGATAAGCCAAATTGTCTATTTCTAAATCCTAACTCCAAAATCCTAATGAGTGTGTAGCCGAAAACCGACGAGCAATATGTGGTTTACCAAACAAGCGATACGAGGAGAAGAGAATAGAATAAACTCAACTGAGTCTACACTACCCTGAACCTTCTCACCGAATGGAAGGAGAGGCGAACCTTTTAACACAATGACCAGGTGATGATTAAATTGAGAACAGCTGTGAAGGGAACCGGATGAGGAGGGAGCTGCGGGGGCCATCTAATAGCAAACGTACGTAACACTTTATTCTCCTTTATTCAGCATCCATGGTTTATTTATTGTTATTTTTGGTATCATTTGTTCAGTAATTTCTTGTTTTTAATATTTTGTTATGGTTATTGATTCTATTCCTGTTGTCCTTGTGTTCTGCCTCCATTTCCCATAGTTCTGTTCTTTCAGTGTCTTGGTGTTTTCCCCCAGCGCCCCGTTACCCAGTCACATCTATAGCAGATTAGTTATCATCATACCTTGTCTCCAATCACCTCCTCAGTGTATTTAAAGAGCACGTCACCCCCAAATCAACTTTTTTTGCTGATAAACTATATAAATGAGTTTCTAATCGTGCTGTAAACATGTGTAGTCAATAATTTGGCGCATTAGTGCATCTTAGTTAAAAGTGAAATATTCCTCCTTAAAATATTAGTGTTGTGCCGTCTTCAGGTAACAACTCTGCAATGCATTTGAATTTAAATCTGCCATCGCTATTGGCTAAGAGGTACACTATGAAGTTAGCAGGTACATTATGATGTCCCAATGTTGTTGTGAGCCTGTGTGTGTTTCTGTATTTGTTAGTGGCTCTGCCCTTTCAGTTTGCCAGGCAACAGCAGTTGTTGCATTTTTTTTTTCAAACATGAAGTGGGAGTGGAGTAAGACTCTGGTGAGGGGTGACTTGCTCTTTAAGCCTGCTCTGTTCTTTGTTGTCTGTTGTTTCTTTGTGTACCTCGCTCCCTGTCTTCCTGGACTCCTTGTGCCCTTTGCCTCATTGAAATGATTTTTGACAGCTTCAATTAGTTGCCTCAATGGATTTACTGCATTTGGGTCCTACTACAACATCCATTTTTACTGACAAAGTCATTATGCCCATCTGTCTTGTATCACATTAGCATGGAAAAATGTTAGCTTTCATGGCTCAGGAGATTTGCACTATTCATCAAAAAAATAAAACATGACCAAATGTTACCATTTAAACCAAGTATTCTGACAACATGAAAACAAAGACTGGGTATTACACGCAAGTGTTTAAATGAAAGAAAAAGGTGGAACAAAGTCAAGAGCTTTCTTCTGATTGAAAACCTCTGGATTTGATGTTTCATAAACAAAAGAAATTTTATTTATAATTTGGAATACAATAATTCTGACAAAATAAACATTTAGTAGATGGTATATATAAACATTTTAAAGGACCCCATTCATCTAACAAAATGTATACATAACATGTTGATTATTAACACTTGGTATACATTTAGCTATGAAAAAGAGTGTTTTAATATAATTTTTACATATTTACATCCTGTGTATACTTAAGTACTGCTCATAACTTAGAGTCTACAGTTCATTATCATCTGTATTTATTTCATTTGAAGTTGTCGACTGTGTTGAGTCTTCTGTTTCTTCTTCTGACCCTGCTGCCTCCTCTTCTATGGAATTTTCCTCTCTTTCTGTGTCTGTTGTGGGCAGATCGTGTTCAAAACCAGGGTTTGTGTGCCCATGTCTGTGTCGATTCTGAACCTCCTCGAAAATCTGAAGGACCTAAAAGGCAGAAAAATAGATTAGTGAGCAAACACTAAACACCAACAATGATGTTATTTGGGATTCGCACTGTGTATTTATAATACCTTGGATTTAGGAATCATACCCACTCTGAAGAAACCAATGTTCCCAGTATCAATCTTGGTGCAGTCGACGACAGTAGATGCAATGTTTTCTGGAGACGGTCCATCACACAACACTCCATCCACCTACATCCAAAGAAACATGAAAGTACCTCACAAAAACTCCAACAAATGTCTGTGAAGGTTCTCAGTCATCCAGGTCATTGTAGTCTAAAGAGCTTTGAAAGAAAAGCGTCTGGACTTCTTTGAGTTGCTTGAAGACGTTTCACCACTCATCCGAGAGGCTTCTTCAGTTCTAAGGTCAAATGGTGGAGAGTCCCAGATTCAAACCCAGTGGGAGTTTCCCACACTGGCTACATAGCCGGTGTATCAGAGAAACTCAGGAGGGTTTTCTCCAAACACAACATACCAGTGTACTTCAGACCCAGCAACACACTCAAGCCCCCTTCAGACAGGCCATGAAAAACGGAAATGTTCCGGAATCTGTCCGTAAGACCTTTCTGTCTGAATACAAACATCCGGATAATGTGTTCCGGAATTTATCCGGACGAAGCCCCTAGTAACAGGTCCGGACTTGTTACGGACAGGGTGGCTGCTTCAGACTGGTGAGGTAAAGTTCCGGACAAGAGGGAGGGGGAGGAGGAGGGGACCGGGGGACGCTGTGCGCACCTAGATAGCCCGCTGCTGTAGCATGCGGCGAACCACGGCAGCTCGCCTCCTACGGTACCGTCTAGACGCGCGACGGAGCGCTTCACACCGCTTCAGTGATTCCTTTAACCATTGAGCTTCATCATCCATGTCTCTTATGCGTCTTCGTGTGCGCAGAATTATGCTTAAGCGCCTCGTGATTTTTATCTTGAGAGGCGCTATAGAAATGATGTTATCTTCTTCTTCTTAACATGAGTGCGATTCTCTCTCCCCCCACCCCCCCGCCGCCGTCAGACATCTGGAACTTTTCCCTGCTGTGTGAACGCAGCCGAAAGGACAAGTTCCGGTACAAAAGTGGTGTGTCTGAAAACACAGTTCCAGTTAAAAACCTGATTGAATTGTCCACAAATGTTCCAGAATGTCTATCTGAAAAGGGCTTCAGACAGAAACTGGTTCACCCGAAAGACAAAACTCCTAAACCCAAACTGAACAATGTGGTGTATGCTGTACAGTGCAGCAGGGAATGCCCAGACCTCTACATCAGAGAAACTAAACAGCCACTTCACAAGAGCATGGCACAACATAGAAGAGCCACCTCCACAGGACAGGACTCAGCAATTCATTTGCATCTAAAGGACAAAGGTCACTCTTTCGAGGATGCCAACATTCACATTTTGGACAGAGAGGACAGATGGTTTGAAAGAGGAGTAAAGGAAGCCATTTATGTCCACTGTAAGCAACCATCTTTGAACAGAGGCGGTGGTTTACGACACCAACTGTCTGCCATCTATAATCCAGTTTTGAGATCCCTTCCCAGATGCCTCAACGCCCACGCATATCCTGGGCCATCTGACCTCAGGAATTCACATGATAGGGTGGGGCCAGGTTTCACAATGAGCTCACCCGAAACTCTGGCTGAATAGGACCCACACCCACCCTCACACCTTAGCTCATGTGTTTATGTAGAAGATCATCAGGGGGTCTTTTGTTCCCTCTTCGGGGGGACACTCCCACTGGGTTTGAATCTGGGACTCTCCACCATTTGACCTTAGAACTGAAGAAGCCTCTCAGATGAGAGGTGAAACGTCTTCAAGCAACTCAAAGAAGTCCAGACGCTTTTCTTTCAAATCTCCTTAAACTCCATCAAATCTTTATTTCCTGCTTTTTTATGAACACTAAATCATTCCCTTACCTTGTCTCCCAGTTTGGCGTAAACCTGGTTATGATGAGTAGTGTCTGCCTCGCCAGTGGGGTTGGCTGAGGTTACAGCAATAGGTCCCACCTGAGAGGATCAAATATGATTTTTTACTCATGGTTCAGCTATTTTAGCTTCTTTTATTCTAAGATGTGCAGTAATAAAAACTCATGGATTTACCTGATTAATGAGATGTGTAGCCACTGCACAGTCTGGGTTTCTGATAGCGATGCTTTGTGGAGTCCCTATGTGTATGGCAGCATCTCCTAAACCAAAAATATCCATCCAGGGACCTGCAAAAGTCAAGAAATCAGTGTCATGTTCATAAAACTACCATGCGTGAGGAACTCATTAACACACCAAAAGGATTTCAGATGGACACAAGAAGTCACCGACCTCTGGGTATGACCATGCTGATAGATGAGGGCCATGCAGCCTCCATGAAGTCCAGCAGCAGAGGGCTCAGCAGGTGTCTCACAGGCTCCAGCTGCTTGGTAGAGGAGATCCACATGGACATTGGTCGGACCTGAGCCTGTTTTTTAACCCTGAAGTCAATCAAAGAACCATAAGAAGGAATCTGGAACCAAGAATGCAGACAACCATCATCTGTCAAGAAGATAGAAACGTACTTGTAAGCTTTGATGACTGCATCAGGCCTGTTGCAGGCTGCTACCAGCACATAGACGGTGTCGGTTGGCATTCCACATATGCCACCATTTTTCATGATTTCTGCATCAGAAAAAGTACATTGAGCACATTAAATAAAATCAACTCATGTTCAACATGTCAAAACACTCTTTTTTTGTTAGAAATTAACAATATTATCATTAATTCCTCACCTGCAATCTGTTGAACCGATGCTGCTTTGCGGGCTGGAACATGTGGACACACATCTGCCCCCCCTCCCATCCCACCCAGCCTGACTAAAGGTCTTCCCAGGGGCATTTGAGGGGACGTGAAGGTGCTGTTGAAAATGTGTGCCAGAAAACAATAAAAACTGACCAGCCCAAAGATGATAGTGACACCTATGTCGTAGCCGTATGGCAGCGAACCTACAGCATCCAGCAGAAAGCTGATGAGGATGAGCTGGAAAGTGAATGCATACACAAACCAGGCTACATTTAGAAACAGTGCTGCAACTGTCACCAGAAGATTAAACAACATGAAGCTGATGATCCCAACAGCCACATTAAATCCTCTGGTTTCACCGTACAGACCTCCGTATCGTGTCAGACCCCAAACTGTCCACATGACCCCGTACAGAATAAAGACAGTACTCTCAAAGGTTTTACCCCGAGCGAATGCTACCGAGCCACACAGGAGCTGCAGAACCCCACCAGCCACCACCACCCAGGGCAGAACCAGCACAGACTGAGGAGTTCTGTCATCAACTGTGGCTGTGATGGCAAAAGCAGCCAGAACATTGCAGGCATGACCCAACACCTCTGCATCTGCATATTTGGAGTAGCCCAGGTGAGGTTCGTGTTGCTCTTTATCAAGAGCTCTGGGCTTGAGTTTCCCCATCCTGGTTACTAAAGCCTTAAACACACCCTGCCCTACAGGAATCTTGGTCCTGGAAACCATGTTGAATGCAGTGATGAACAGCATTACAGCCGTAGCTACAAATATAGCACCCTGCACTCCCTGAGTACCTCCTTGGAAGAAGCCTTTGGGCTGTGCTGCAATGGAAATACAATATGCAACAAAGAATAACTGGTAGAAGCCCTCCAGCAGGCTCTTTTGACAGCTGAACAGGGCCAGAATGGAGAAAAGCACCGCAAAGACAACAGGAAAGGGAACGGGAGAGAAAGGCTGGATGGAGTACCAGGACAACAAAGCACTGTAGCCCTCTGCAAACCTCAGCAGGGCTGTAAAACCATAGAAAGTAGCAGCCAGTATGTCCAAAGATCGATAAAAGAGGACACACAGGCTTAGCTGGAAGACTCCAGCTGTCCACAGCCAGGGGACATGTCCAACAGAGAGTGTAGGGACAACACGTAACAGGGGACAGGCCAACACAGAGGCAGACAATAAATTCATCACCAAACCTACACTTGCTACATCACTGCACCTCTGGTTCTGGTCTCTTTTCAGCTCAGCTTTCAGCTTCAGGGCAACTCCTGGGGGTCTCACTTTACCCTGAGTGATTGTGGACAGAAGACGTCCAAATCCAAAGTAAACACACACCAGACAGACAAGAAGGTAGTTTGCAGCAGTGGCAGACTTTCCAAACCCTGCAGCACACAGGTCAGCGATTTGATGGGCAGAAGCTAAAGAAATGCAGACGGCTATGATGAACAGAACCTGTTTCTTCACAAAGAGTGCAACACAGCCTATGATGAACAAGGCTAGAGTAAACGCTGCCAGACCAGGAACCAGTGAGTCTTTCAGGTCTGTGAGCTGCAGCACCCCCTGTCCTACCAGAATGTAGATCAGACCTGAGCCACACCACAGAGCAGAGACGGTGAGACACAGAGTGGAAAACAGCTGGGCGTGGGACAGGCTGTGACGGACACCTAGAAGGGAGACACGGTCCAGTTAGCAGGCTGGAAACAGGAAGTAAATCACATTGGTCAGCAGAAACTCCTTCAAAACAAACCTGCATAAGCTACAAGGACTGTGATGATGAGGAGCAAAACCCCCAGGGCAGTGTGGGGGATGAAGTCTTTTAGAGGAGAGCTGCCATAGCTGTTCACCAACAGCAGGAGAGAGCCTAACAACAGAAAAATAACAAATTAAATGCAACTATGGTAAGTTTCTTTTTTCATACAAATAAGAAATGAATATTATCAAGAACTCAGCTGCTCTTTGTTATATATGCATTTAGCTTTTAATTTAAAAAGTTTGAACCTTTATAAAACTGTGATGCTACCAAACTAACTTTTTTGCAAATAATAATTACATAAATGTTTAACTTATGTACGAGAATGACACCATCGTTTAAAGGCACTTACCTGCTGAGATGCTCAGAATCCCGACGGACTCATCCAGTGAATTGTGAAGAGCCATCACACCAGTACAAGGCTGCATACGTGATGCTGGGTTTTATACGAGTGCCTGTGATGTCACCATGCAGAGGAGGGTGACTTGAGGGGGGAATGTTTGGAGGAAGTATTACCTGTCACACCATAAATGGAAAACCCAACAGCGCCTCCTCACGGCAGAGTCTGGACTTTGCAGAATGAACAAATAAATGATTCAATTAAAAAATTTTTTTTTGAAAACTTTACATTTTAACTTGATTAATAATGGAAAAAAATGCTATGCAAGTCCATTTTCAAACACAGATCAATTATTTTAAAATTGTATGATAAATATTTACTTCGTTATTATAGAATAAATAACAATAAATATCAAAGTGACATAATTTTATTCAGACTCCTCTTGGTTAACCTACTGCAATAAACAGTGTTACCATTACAACTTTTTATTGTCTGTAATTTTGGGTTTTAAGATATTTTGGACTTTTATGATGCAACAGTGATTGGAAAGCATGACTCAGCTTTCTTTTTTTTTTTTTTTTGACCTTTTTGGTGAAAGGATCTGTTTGTTACCTGCATGATGTCATCTGTAGCAGGACAGGTTGTGGGAGGAGACAGTAGCGATAGGCAGGAATATAAGCTCAGCCCTGGAGCTCAGCCATCAGACCCCAACGGAAGAGCTCCACTACACAACAAGTCAGCTCCAACGAAACCTGCACCAGGTGAGGGGGCTTGTCTTTTTCTTTTAGATAAGAGAAACACCCCTAAAGGCTGCTATCTTTTTCAGTTAAGTTGTTTTAGTTTGTGTGTTTAGTGCTGCTGGGTTTGTACAAACAACACACTTTAGTTGTGCCAACAGAGTTACCTAGCAACAGCAGCTAACCTGTGACTTATTTGGTTCTCATAACAACCTGCACGTCCAAAGCAATTACTAGTCAGTGCTTTTCTTATGATTTCTGGTAGGACATTGTTTGGGTTTATTTTAGAAAAAAACTGAGATGAACATAAGTAATCCTTTGGGATTGTGTGTGTGTGTGTGTGTGTGTGTGTGTGTGTGTGTGTGTGTGTGTGTTTCAGCAATCATGGCAAAGCGTGTAGCAGTTATTCTTTCAGGTTGTGGCGTTTATGATGGCACAGAGATCCATGAAGCTTCAGCTGTTCTGGTTCATCTGAGTCGTGCCGGAGCAAAAGTAAGCAGAAGGAAAACCATGAACCTTAAAGTGTCAACAGTCTTGTCTTATAAGTAGAGGTTAATATGTGGTGTTTGACATCAGGTCCAGATGTTTGCTCCAGATGCAGATCAGATGCATGTTGTGAATCACTGTGAGGGGAAACCTACTGAGGAGAAGAGAAACGTCCTGCAGGAAAGTGCACGAATCGCCAGGGGGGAAGTGACAGATCTGGCTAAGTTAAATGTCTCAGACTTCGATGCCGCCATCATCCCAGGTGAGGCAACCTTACATCAACACAGAGAGCTCTAAGACACCTCTCTCTCTCTCTCTCTCTCTCGCTCTCTCTCTTGCTCTCTCGCTCTCTCTCTTGCTCTCTCGCTCTCTCGCTCTCTGATATCTGATCTCTTTGTCTTGTGCTGGATCAGGAGGGTTTGGTGTGGCTAAGAACCTAAGTGACTGGGCTGTGAAAAACAAGGACTGCACCATCCAGCCACAGCTAGAGAAGATCATCAAGATGTTCCACCAAGCTGGAAAACCTTTGGGCATGTGCTGCATCTCCCCCATCCTAGCTGCAAAGATTCTGCCTGGCTGTGAGCTCACTGTGGGTCAAGACAAAGAGTGTAAAATGTGGGTGAAACATAAAAACATTAAACATCAAACACAATTTTGTTTTGTTTGTTTTAGTGAATATTTCTTGTCTTTTTGTCTTCAGGTGGCCGTACGCTCAGACTGCAGATGCTGTGAAGGAGATGGGCTGCAAACATGTGAACAAAGATGTGGAGGAAGCTCACGTTGATGTGAAAAACAAGCTGGTCACCACCTGTGCCTTCATGTGTAACGCTCCCATTCACAAAGTGTTTGATGGAGTTGGTGTCATGGTTCAGGAGACACTCAAGCTAGCTTAATGGCATTAGTTCATAACTGCATCATTTTCTTTTAACCCTCCTGCATTGTTAATGGGGTCAGATGGGCTCCGAGTGCTTTTAATTGTTTTAGGAGTGCACCACATCACCCTTCCAAGGAATAAACTATCAACCATGTTTAAGCACCCCTTGTCCTGGAGGGGGTCACCTGATAGGACAGTGGAAGGGTATAACATATTTAGTTTTATGGTTTCATGTCAATCTTTTTGGTTTCTTTTTACATTAGATGTTTCTTCGTATAATGTTAAGGAGATTTTAATAAAACCCTTTATGGAAATCGTATCTTTTCTAGTAATTGCTTTTCGAAGATATCAAATTGTTTTGTCATCAACTCAGAATGGATTCCAAATCTAGACCTGATTATTAAATTATAGAGATTTGTTTGTTTGTTCACTTTGCAATAGTTGCAAATAAAACTCCCTTTGTATTTTAGAATTTAGTTTGATGCTTCTAATAAAGGAAAAAATAATAATCAGAAAGCTGAGAAATATTAAAGAAAATGGCAGGCAGCCTAATGTGAATTCAGCCAACATTAGTCTTCTGTTAAAACCAGTCAAAGACCCTGTAGTTCCTACCAGTTATTGCCCTGTTACGACTACACCTAGGATCCGAGCAAAGTAAAATAGAAGAAGGTATGACCGGGGGAAAGGAGTGTGAGGAGTTGTTGGGTTGTAAAATAACAATCTCTTTTTAATAAAGCAAAAGGAGGGGATATAACCGCCTCACAGGTTAGTACCAGATACACAAAAAGAAGGGGAACTGGGAAAAAGTCCCAGGAATAAAGCACAACAAAATAT